CCAGCCTCGCTCCTAGTACCTTATTACAGTCCATGCTGTATCCATCAAAATAAACAACATCCACTGCTCTTCCCTCAACTACAAAGCCAGTCATCTCACCAAAGAAGGCTATCAGGTTGGCCAAGCATTTCCCCTTCATAAATCCAGGCTGCCCTGATCGTCACATCTCCAAACATTCTTCCTCATTTGTACAGGTGAGGTCCAGTAGTGCCTCCCGTCGTCGGCTCCTCAGTCATCTGCATTAGGAAGTTGTTATCAATGCTCTCCAGAAACCTCCTCGATTACTTGATTACTTGCACCCTGCTGCACACTCACTCCAGCAGATACTGGAGTGAATGATGTCCCCCATGAGGACCAGGGCCTGCTAACATGAGGCTTCCTCCAGTTGTCTGAAGCTTCATCTGATTCTTGCTGATCAAGCTGTCTGTAGCAGACATGTACAATAACACTGTCAATAATATTGGTCTGCCCGCTAATCCTGACCCATAGGCTCTCAGCCTGGTCATCAGCCCTCCCTAGATGGAGGTCCATGCATTCTAACTGTTCTCTCACAGAATGTTTAACATCATATTTAAAGCAAGCTCCAAATATCGGTTCCTCTATTCCCAAAATTTATGGCATTATTTTAGACTATTTTAATCTCAGCTATTTAACTGAAAAACAGTTAAAACAGTGTTCCAACAAATAAGTGTAAATACTTGCTATTTTTCAATTCCTTCACAGTCAACATTTAGCCACTACTTATACAAGAACATCACCATCAGCATAATGTCACAAAAAGAAAAAAAAAAACCACACAAAAACCTCCCCAATCTTGGGTTCTTATTTTCTTATTTCCATTACCATATTAAAGGAGGGCTTCAGCTTACAGTTTAGAATCTGTTTTAACTATCATTCACACAACCGAGACTTCAACAGCATCTATTCAACAGCACAGCATATCCCCACTATTAAGGAATTTTTCACAATAGTCGATCTTAACTTCTCTTAGTTTCATGCCTACTCCTGCTGCGTTACCTAGTTAAAATAAGATCAATAGCCACCTATTAATTATGGATCAATGTTTAATTACCACTTCCTAAGTTACTGCCATAATCAGTTGCACAGATAACATGATTTCTATGTCCCGTGTTTTATTAAAACGCCATGGAGTGGGGAAGAGATGAGTATACAGCTAACTGATTCACAGATGGCTAGAAATTGGCTTTCTCAGCAGACAGTATTAAAGATGGAAATTTTCTGGAGAAAATCCTTCGGGTATATGCTCAAAGCTGCAGATTATAGTCTCAAATATGCACAGAAAGATTGGACTGGCCAAGGCAATAATGAGCTGAACTACTTGCTACACGTGTGGTCAAACAGGAACAACAACAAAAAATATATCAGTTGGGGTTAAGTAAGCCTGGAACTGTACCTGTGAGTGAGTCCCCAAAACGGGAAGGGGGAGAATCATATCTCTAAGCACTAAATGAACACATTTCCAATTTTTGCTGAAAATGAACCTTCCAAAACAAGACAGGAAAATATAGTGGAGAAATTATCTACTTCTAAGAAACAACCAAACCCCAAGTGTTTCTAAACCCTCATCTCACTTTTCTGTATTCCCAAAATAATCTCAACATCTTCACACATTCTTCATAGCATCCTTCTTGGCAGTTATCAGCCAGAAAGACCAAACGAAAATTTAAAAAAAAAAAATAAATTGCCACATGCACTGACAATATTCCAGAGAAAAACAAGAGGAAACAACCAACCACACAGATACTTGTAAAGAAAAGACAGCGTTTGTCTATTGACGCTTTATCTAGTGCCTCAGGAGGCAGATGAATGAACAAACAATCGCTTTTATAGCAAAAACTTTAATGAATCCTAAATATACCCAAGCAAGGTAAGGAGTCTCTTTGGGTAAACTGTTTGGGAATTCAGATGGAGGACCAGGAGGAAGGGTTTACTTATCCACAGCCATGTTTAAGACCACAGGTGTCCCAGCTAATTCTCAACCTAATGTCATATTCATGAAGGCTGTCTCTTCTTATCTAATTATCCCTATCCCCTGATTATACCTACAGGAGGTACAAAGAAAGGTAAATAAATGCAGCAAAGTGCAGCTTTTCTATTTCAAGACAAAGCTGTGAGTATCTGTGCCAGAGCCAAATTGCTCCCAAGGCAGAAGTTCCACCAGTATAAAACTAACTGAAAAAATAATTTTAAAAATTAAAAAAAAAAAAAAAAAAAATCACAGTCTAAGGTTATATTTATGTTTTCATTTCCTTCCTTCATATCAAAAAAGGGATTCAATAACCACGTGTTTAATGGAACTGCCAGGGAGGAGCAGGCCAAACATCTGCTCCACTTTGGCATTTCAGTTTCGTCAAGAGTTTGAAGAGGGCTTTCTAGTCATTTGGTTTAGGTACCAAATAATAGCAAAATTGTCAACCAGGAAAAGTCAAATAGGGAAACAGACCGAAACTTCAAGAAACTTTCAAGAACTTAACACAAAGCCAAGAAAAAAGTAAGAATTTGGCATTGAAGTAGCTTCTGAAGTCATGAATTGAAAAGTTATTTTCAGTAATGTTTCTGTTGCATTAAACCCACAGGTGATAGCTTCTTAACAAAGACAGAACTTTCTCTGTTCAGCATTAATGAGGCTTTATAGGCATTCAAGTCCAGGAATTGAAGGCATCTGCAGTAAGCAACCTCGTACAGCTCCCTATTTTTAACATATATAGCGTTCAGAAGATTTTATAACCGTAATATTGTTTAACTCCATCTTCCCCCCCCCCTTTTTTTTTTTTAATATTTTCAACATGGATGAAATTTGGAAATGTTACAGCAGGACTGAAGACCATTTTGAAGGCTAGGATAGGGTTGCATAATGCACCAGACAATCTGCACACTGTATTAGAAAACTGGAGAGTTACCTTAAGTATTTTTTTTTTATTATTCTGATTTAATTGTTCCTTATTTATATTCATCACTGAAATCCACTGCATCTGAAGCTATTTTGAAAACACAGCATTCTCCCAAAGGGCCCAATCCAACTCCCATTCAAATAAACAGCCTTCAATGGAGCCTATTTGTTGCTAGCCAACAAGATTGAATTCTGCTGCAGAGTGGTCCCTGAAGCATTTGTCACAGCTCCTTACAAATATTGCTCCAGTAAGAGCAGGTCTAAATACGCTTGTCCACATGCACTGCAGACAACCAAAATCTATCTTTTATCTTCCTGAAACACTTGGTCAGATTTAAACTCCAAAAGCACAAAGAACTGAATCTGTCAAGAATATGAAAAGTAAAAAGAGTAAAAAAAAAATGTTTAACGGTTATAAAAAGGCAAAGAGCCAAAGGGAAGGCAGAAGGACGATAAAATATTTTCATGTGATAGGACCAAGTACCATTTATTCCACCCTTAAAATGAAGTTACCCAGAAAAATGTTTTTGTGTAGATTTTAATGACAGTATATAACCAAACTTCTCAAAAAGCTTGTTTCAACACAGCTATGAACAACATCCACAGTTTTGAAATAAGAAATTTTGCAACGCACACAAAGCATACAAACACCACTCCAATAGTAAGTCACGAAGGTTATGAGGAAAGATTTTAAATCTCACCAAGTATGTACTCACACGGGGTTACCAAAACAACAAAGTTTAAGATTGATATTTCTTGATTATATCCTTACCATACGGAAGACCCTTATCTGTGAAAAGAACAATGTGATCAGCTTTGAGAAGAGGACAGGTTTTGCTAGTTTATGGTAAATAAATAAAAGTAACAATGTAACTTCTGGTCTGAGCTAAGTAGTGAATGATACAAATGAGAAAAACTCTTTCAATGGATGGACACTCTTACTCTCAGATGCTTTATCCTGCCTTGTAACACAGAAATGCAGACTCTGGCTGATGAACTTCTTTGTAGTCTAAATGAACTTCTTTGTAGTTTGAAGTCTGAGACAGCAGAAGGTTAGGAGATAGGAATTCTGTAAATAACATTGCAAAAATAAAGACCTTTCTACAGGGAAGTGTTTTACTTTGAAACTAAGAATTTGATTTGTTGTTATACAGTACTGATGTGGTTCTTGAAAACAGTCTACTTGGAAAGCATAGGTCTTGGGAGATGCTCTCAATACCTGTCAGAGTTCAAAAACCAAATAATAAAATGTGATTTATAATACAAGTTCAATATCTCTGTTTCATAAGTAACAGACAAAAAAGTTTTTAAAGAAGTTGGCCACCTTAATATCCCAAGAATACTCTTGAGAATCTGAGCTGATATCCAGGGATTTCAGCAGGGTAACTTACAGGATCACTCCACGCTTTGAGAGATGACTGAATAGAGTGTGAACTCCTAATTTCCACCTCTACCTCAAATCCTCACTGCATGCACCAGATAAAGACAAGGCTTGAAACCGAGGTCAACCAAAGCACCTTGCGTGCCTCACTCTGAGATGACTCTGTCCAGACAGCACTCCATACTCAAGCTCTACAAAAGCCCTCCACGTCACAGCCCTACAGAAACAGCAGGGAGGCACACGAAACCAGGGAGGTTACCTCCAAGTTCCTTATTGTGGGATCAGAGTCACGTAAGCCATGATGGCAGGAACACATCTTCAACCATATAATGCACACACACCAAACACTATTGGGACTGGCAGGATTGCTCATCGACACAAATAGATTTAAATACATATGTATGTACACAGATAAATATATGTATATACACACTTACGTGTACATATACACGCACACACATATATATACCTGTCTGTCTGTGTATATATATGAAACAGACAGATACTAAATCAATTGCACCAAACTACCAAATACTATACCCACCATTAAAAAAAGGAAAGTTGGGCACAAAAGATTTCAGATTTAAAACTGAGTGAGCTAACTTCCTTCAGGTTAAAAGATAAGCCACACAAAAGTAGATGTACAATGCCAGTTACGTTCAGCACCAACACCGTGCTTTATCCGACAGCCATCCCACGCAGCCGTACCCTGGCAGCTTCCAGCACCCCAGCAGCGGCACCTGCAGAGCAGAACCAGCCAGAAACAAGCTTTGCTCGCTCCGGAGGCTTTTGCTTTTGGGAAAATACATTATGCTCAAAAGCGTGGACCAAAGTAGATTCCCGTGCTGTTGCTGATCTGATAAAAAGACAAAATAAAGAGGCTGGTTGCCAAAGGCACTAGAGCTGTCTAAAATGTACACGTGTCACCTTACCTTTAGCATTTCTGCTGTCAAGGTGAATAAAGAACTCCCGCTACACCTCAAGAGAGCTGCTCTTGCCCATCACACTTCTGAGATTCAAGACCACTGGGAAGTCAGAGCAAGGACTGGCCTTCCCAGGCGAGCGCAACTGGGCATCCTCGCTCCAGCCTGACCTCCGCCACCAGCACAAAGCCAAAGCCAACCCAACGCTGCCACCCGAAACGTATTTAGGTAAATGATACTACTTCGTGCGAGGTGTCACCTATTTCTGCTACTGAAATAATGAAAACTACTTTTAGTTTTAGGGGCAGGGGGGGTTCAGAGCTGGTGCCTCAGGTCACGCTTTGGCGGGTTCAGCCCTGACCCCGCGGGGCGGCTGACAGGGGCCGCAGCGCCCTACCAGACCTTTGCCCCGACCCCGCAAAGCGCCAGGCACGACCGAGCGGGGGCCGCTTGGGCTGTTTATTTCTACCGCTGAGAGCAGAGCCGGCTTCAGGCTCCACGCATCCCCCAGGCGACGAACCCCGAGCAGCAGCCCGAGCTCGGCCAGGGCGGAGAGCGACAGATCTCCCTCCAGCTGCGAGCAACGGGCGCGGACAGGGGGAGGCTGCGAGCGGGGCGCCCCGCCGGCCGCGGGGGAAAGGCGGGTTCAGGGGGCGGCGAGCGGCGGGGGGGGGGGGGGGGGGGGGGGG